CACAAGACACTTCACAATGTAATGAAGAGAGCAAAGATTCTACCCTAATTGTTGGTTCTGATTTTTAAAGAATTAACCCATAGATGTGACCATTGACCATATTCACCAATATCAATAATTTCTCTAATAAAGGGACTTATATTTTTAGGCATTAAATTAAAAAATGTTCCACAAAACAAAAACAAAAACAAAAACAAAAAGACAGCTCAGCCCATTCCTTTTTCTCCCCCATCACTTTGTCATGAGCTTCATGGCACAGACCACCACACAAGAGTATCCCATGTGTGTTGCTGCTATCATGCATCCATTCATTCATTACCTGTTTCTGTCACACAATATAAATTCCATGAGAACAGGGACCAGCAGTTAGTGTAATGGCTATGTTGCTGAACTCCCATGTAGTCGACCGCAGTTCGAGTCCCAGACCCGGTGGCTTAAACTCACACCAGGCGCGTACGCATGCGTGCCCAAGATCCTGAGAGGAGAATGGAGGAGAAAGGATTGAGGTGTGGCCACCCCCCTGGGGGGTGATTTCTCGCTTTCTGTCTCTCTGACTGTCTGTCTGGTGAGCACACGCGCCCTATAGCAAAAACCTCTCAAGAAAAAAATTTAAAATTTTTTTTTAAATTTCACAAGAACAAAAACTTTCATATGACTCAATAACTACTGTATTTCTAGTGCCTAGAAATGTCTGACACCCAGGAGACACTCAGTACACATTTGTGCAAGGGAAGAATAAAGATAGACTTATCCTTAGGCTTCCAATGAGGAGTGTTTTCTTTGGTCACTGTTCATTATACACACATGCACATGCACACACACACATAGCTCCAATCACAGTCTTGGATTTAGTCAAATATCTTGAGTATTAGTGCTTCATCTTGCACTAGATAATTCCCAGGTTTGTCATGCAGCTCTGAGTAAAAACTTCCATGATAATTTCTGACATTGCTTTAGCCTCTAAGTAAATTACTTTTTCCTATCATGCATCTGCCTCTCCTTTTTGTTAGTTTCAGTAATATTCTAATCACTCTGCTCCTCAGTTTCAAAGAAAAGAAGGAGAGTTCCAGAAAACAGTTTGTTTTTCCCTTCTTTGTAGAAAAGCAGTCAAGATCAAAGGTGCTATAAAAGAAATTCTCAATAACCCACATACACACCACAAATCTCCAACCTGTTTAAGCTATCTGCAGAGAGGCAAGGGTATTGCGGGGAAAATGTGGGAAGAAGTGTCCAAAGCAATCTCACAGGACTCCCAGACCTGATTTCATAGACAATGCTTCAGCAGAATCGAAAATGGAACAGATTGTGGGAAGACAGAAAGGTTTCCAGAGATATGAAATGAACGACAGCAAATAACATCAATCCACACACTTAGTACTCAGGTAAGGTAGGAAACAATTGGTGGTTGTGCTCAGCCTCCCAATAGAATCTTGGGCAACTCAATTAACCTCTTTCTGCCGCATTCTCATCACTTGTAAATTGAGTCCAACAACCTACCTAGTGCAAATTGCACAGGGATTTGCTAATAAATGTGAGTAGACAGCTCTAAGTGTGATACCTAATAATATTACGTTAACGAGCATAAAATCACAGGGCTACAGGGATTTCAAAGGTCAACCAAGCCCTTTCACATGGGACCACAATTAAATCATTCTGGAGGGATTCGATTCTAATCCTTTTTAAAAGGTGCCCATATAAGGTGATTCTCAAGAAATGCCCCCTGGTCAGGGATGTCTTTCTCCTCTAGGGATCTTGGGCACGCACGCACACGCGCCCGGCGTGAGTTCTAAGCCACCGGGTCCGGGACACGAACCGCGGTCGACTACGTGGGAGTCCAGCGACATAGCCATTACGCTAACTGCTGGTTCCCAGGGATGTCTTCTTAAATTGAAGAGATCTCAATCCTGTGGCATCAGCACGCACTGCTTCTCCTCTCCCTGCGTGGAAAGGAGACCAGCCATTGCACCACCTCCAAAAGCAGCTTAACCAACTTCAACAGCCATAACGCAGGAGCAGGATGGGTTAGGGCCCAAAAATCCAGACAGGAGAACAGAGAAGGGATTGCCGCAGGACCATTCCTCTCCCCCCGCCTCCCACCCC